ACTATATATATATTATATATATATATATATAGGAAAGGTCTAGAAGGAATAAATACCAAAGTTAAAAAGTGGTTACTTCTAGAGGCTAGAACTGGCAGGCAGTGAATGAGAATGTAAAGAGGACTTCACTTTTAAGTCATATGCCTCTGTAATATTTAAATGCTTTTTAAAAAGAATTTTATCACTTAAAAAATTAAACTATTAGCAGAGAAATAAAATCAAAATCTGGACACTGACTCACTGTCTGCCATTTAATATTATTAAAAAAAAAGAAATCAAAGACCAGCTTTTTCGTTATTTTAATCTAGGAAATTGTGCAATTTTTTAAAATTATAATTCAAAATACCTGTCATAATGTGTCTAAGATTAGGTCTCTTTTGGGAAGTATTACGTGAGATTTTTAAAAAACTATATAAACAAGTCACTTTTTTAGTCGAGGAAAGTCATATTCTATTATTATGTCTTTACTACTTTTATTTCATTTTGCTCTTGGTTTCTTCCTTATGCATATCTATCAGTTCTTGTATAATGGCATAAGGGTAGCTATTTAAATATAAGTAACATAAATTGTTGAGATTTGGAAACACTGAGCCTTATTTAGCAAGCTAGGCAAACCAGGGATTTCCTTGCTCATGTACCAAGGAACCTCTTAGGAAATAATCAACTGAGAAAAGAGCTAATCATGTATCAAGTCTCACTTAACAAAATATTAGCATTCAAAAAAAGCTACTGAATAAATGGACACATATATCCATTATTCAAAACTGTCTCTTGGATTAGGCAGCCATAGATTTACTTGTTGGGGGGTGGCTATTTTCAGTTAAAACTACTTAGGATGGCATTTTATAAATTATAACCAATGAAATATTGTATTCCAGGGTGTGTTGACAGCTTTTCCATTTCCATAAAAAAATCCACTTGAAACTTTGAGTATTCTGAATCTGTACAATAATTTGAAAGGAATCAAGTCTTCCTATCTAGGAACATGTTTCATTTACAGTTGAACCTGTTGATTCAGATTTTCTTTTTCTGTCCTTTTTCTTCACAATGGTCTTGAAATTTTCTTTTTGGTTTATTCTTAACTACTTATTCATTTTTAAATATCTACCAAATGTACAACCTTTATCTCGTATTTTCTCATTGTTTATTGTTGATATATAGAAAAACTACTAGAAAGTTCTTCCTCACTCAGGTAGTTCCTAAATTTCCTACTTTTTCAACAGTTTGCCAAGTTAATTCTATTGTGTTCCCAATCATTACTCTTAATTTCTTTTTCCTGTCATTATTTTATTGCTAAGACTGCCACCAAAACTCTAAATAGCAGCATAGATAATAGATGTCTTTGTCCTAGTCGCAACTTCAATGGAAATACTTCCATGATCCACTACTAAATATGATATGGGTTATAATCTGGACAGAATTCCTTATAATTTTAGGCTTTCTACTTCCTTACTAAATAAAATGGACATCATAGGTATAAAGTTGCATATGATAATGTCCTCTTACTTAAAGAATCTCCTCTGGATCTTTGTCTCCTTTTTGAATCCTCATGTAGCTTATTTGTACTCATTATTTATAAATAGAAAATTAATCTACTTTTAAAGTCTTCACAAAAGAATAAGGTTTTATCTTCATTGCTCAATATTCAAAAAGGGTTGCGTTTTTTACATTTTATTAATTTATTAACTCTTTCTGCCTTCTGGGAGTTTAGTTTGTAATTGTATTTTCCTAGCATAGGACATGAACATATAATGTTCTCTTTTCCTGTTTAGTAGTAATGAATTTAAAATTGTAAAATTCCCTTTGAATACTGCTGTGGCTTTCACTTACAGGTTTCGATATGTAGTAATTACATTTCTGATCTAAAGAGTGGAGAATTGGGACGCCTGGGTGGCTAAGTTGGTTAAGCAACTGCCTTCGGCTCAGGTCATGATCCTGGAGTCCCAGGATCGCGTCCCCTATCGGGCTCCCTGCTGAGCAGGGAGTCTGCTTCTCCCTCTGACCCTCCCCCCTCTCGCACTCTCTCTCTCATTCTCTCTCTCTCAAATAAATAAATAAAATCTTTTAAAAAAATATAAAGAGTGGAGAATTTCCATTTTTACTTCCTCTTTGCAATTATCTGGAAGTATGTTTGGGGGGGTGGTTATGCTCTGGGAGGGGTAGAAAAGCTAAATATTTGTTGATAATTTCTATTTTTATTACACATTTGCTACTGACTCCACAGCAAATGGCAACTATCTGCATTTTAAGACTTTCTTCTATAATGCTCATCTTGACAGAGCATCAAAGATATATAAATCTAAAAATTATACAATATTTTACACTTAAAAAATAATTAAAATCAAGGAAATAACTGTTGAGATTTACTTTACCATTTGACATCTCTGAAAAAGCAAAAATACACAAAACTTTTTCATGATTCAGGAAGCAACCAATCCCCTCGGGCACCTGGGTGGCTCAGTCGGTTAAGCATCTGCCTTCAGCTCAGTTCATGATCCGGGGATCCCTGGATATCGGAGGTCCCTGGATATCGCGCTCCCTGCTCAGCGGGGAATCTGCTTCCCCTCTCCCTCTGCCCCTCCCCCCCACTCTCTCTTTCTCTGTCAATTAAATAAATAAAAAATCTTAAAAAAAAAAAAAAAAGCAACAACCCGAAAAAAATACACAAGATATCCCAATGCTGAAAATTATTTTCAGCTCTTATAAAATATGTTTAGTACATAGAAAAGGATTTAATAATTTAAAATAGGCTTTAATAAAAGGATGTGGACAAGTCATTTCACACAACCAATTATTAAAACCTTAAAAATTATTTTAAATAATCCCAAAGTAGCCCATTTTAAAAATATATAAGAATGATAATATGAAAATCAATAAAAATCTACTTTCCTGTATCTAGAGAAATTTATATCTTAAAAATTTTAGCAGAAAAGAGAACTTCATGAACTTTCCTCTAAAGTCTACATGACTCAATTCTATTCTCTCACCAAATTTTTCAATGTATAGTAAATTTTTATACTACTGCAAAAGGATCATGAGTCTCTTAAAGTGTATTTTTTGTAATAACTGCTGTGTTAAAAAAAGAGGGCACTAATACTAAAATTTGTTATTATATTTATTTATTCCTTACAGCAAAATATCTGAACCCAATTTATGTATTTGTTTTTAAATGTGTTTTAACTTTGAATTTTATAGAACTCAATATTAGATTTTACCAAAGACAGTCAGATATAATAAATGAATATATATATGCTAATCAGGAATATGTACTCATCAACTGCTATGGAATGAGATATAGAAAATATATATGGTAGTATTTTCAAAACATTTGTTGTCAGCTGTAACTAATAACAGTAAATAATTTAGCAAAGTATATAATTACTTGCTAAAGTATGTGATATATAAGCTTTAAATACTGGAGAACTCGAAAGTAATTATAATAAAGATACTGGAACAGAGTGGTATCACCAAGAATGGCTGAGTAAGGAACTTCAGGGTTCAGTCCCTTCCCAAAAGCAACTAATGAGCTGACATGCATTGTTAGAATCAACTTTTGCACAACTCTGGCATCTATTCAAAAACTCCAAACAGTGGAGTGTGTGGGTGGCTCAGTCGGTGTCCAAATCCTAATCTCAGCTCACATCTTGATCTCAGGGTCATGAGTTCAAGCCCCACGATGGGCTCTACACGGGGTGTGTAGCCTACTTAAAAAAACTCAGAACAGCCAACGGAAGACTTAGGGAAGAATAAAGCTGCTACTTTGCAGTAAGCGAGCACTATGGTCTTTTAGGTTGTCCACTCATTATTCCCCACACCCAGATCAGCAGTGGCTGTGAAGATGACAGTTAGAATGCCTGGTACAGGCTTCTAGGGCCACAGGAAGCATATGGACCTTATTTTCACTGGCAACTTAAGGATCAGCACACAGGCCAGCCTTTGTTTCACACAACTCAAGTAATTCCAAGGCTGGGGTAGCATCGCAGACTGCTTTTCCTAAAAAGATTTGAAGGCACAGGTACTGGCACAGCAGTCTGGGGCAAAGAACTACAATTTGGACAAGCAATAAATAGAAAAGCCTGGGTAAGAAAAGGTTGGGAAAGGTGACACATGACATAAAAGGGACTCTAAAAGCTCTTGAATTGAGAAAACTATGCAAATGCCCAGGAAAAAAAAAAAAGCACAAAATGGCCTGAAAAGACCCTAAGTTCTCATTTATGCAAGCAGGAAGTAAAGGATAAGGCAAGTTGGATAGGGCAAGTTGTAAGTGGCCTGGTTAATAAGCACTGAAGGAGTGCCCCAACAGAGTCAATCTGCAAAGATTAGGAGAGTATTTTTTTCTTTCTTCCTTTTTTCTTTTTTATGCTCCATTTAACTGTCAGAACATCACCTGACCACTAAGCTAATGAAACACAAACTTCAGCGGCCACACAAAACAAAGAATCTATACTTTCCAAAAACAGTTCAGAAGTCATCAAATCAACAAACAACAAACCACAACAAGAAACATCAACAAGCTCTGGGTACTGGGGAATAAATCTGATTCCCAGAACTGCCACATTATAGTATTCAAAATACTCAAATTTCAAAAACAAAAAATTAAGAGGCATACAAAGAAACAAGAAATAAGAAAGTATGGGCCATTCACAGAAAGAAAATAATGAAAAGAAAGATAGCTAAGGTATTGGACTTACTAGACAAAGACTTTAAATAGATGGATTAAAAATCTGTTCCTAGAGCTAAAACAATGGACAAAGAACTTACACACACACAAGAAACTGGAAAACAATGTCTCACCAAACAGAATATCAGAGATAGAAGTTGTGTAAAGAAAACATAAAAAATCTAGAGCAGGAAGTATAATAATTGAAATAAAAAATTCAGCAGCAGGGCACCTGGCTGGCTCAGTGGGTTAAACATCCGACTCTTGATTTTGGCTCAGGTCATGATCTCAGGATTGTGAGATCGAGCCCTGTATCAGGCTCCAAGCCAGCTTAAGTCTCTTTCCCCATCTCCCACCGCACCTCCCCCACCTCTCTTTAAAAAAAAAAGTTATACATGGATTTTCGACTACACCAGGGGAGGGGGTCAGCACCCAACCCCTGCATTATTTAAGGGTCAATCATTTCTATAACACACACCCATTATGTTATATATTATATAGCTATATATATTTTAGTTTTTTCCTTAGTGATTTTCTGGAAATTACACTTAACATCTTGAATACCTACTTATTTTCAATAGTATACAAATACTTTCAATAGCATACAAATATAATTAAATATTACTTAGCCATAAAAAAGAATGCAGTACTGATACATGCTACGTTGTGTATGAATCTTGAAAATGTTATGCCAAGAGAAAAGAAGCCAAACACAAAAAGTCATATATTGTAGGATTCTGTTCAAAAGAAATATGCAGAATAGGTAAATCAACAGAGACAGAAAGCAGATGAGCGGTTGCCAAGGACTAGAGGAAAGGAAAATGGGGAGTGACTATTTAATGGACATAAGGTTTTCTTTTGGGTTCATGAAAATGTTTTATAACTGGATAGAGATGACAGTCACACAATGTGAATGAACTAAATGCCACTGAATTGTAAACTAAAACAGTTATTTTGTTACCTGAATTTTACTTCCATAAAATACTAAGTATCAGAGCAAAACAGAAAGAGATGGGGACTAAATTGAGCTTAGTAGAACTTAAATAGCATGGTAAGGGCAGATTATTATAGGGTAACTGAATGGGAGAAATAGTATGAAGTTGAAAGCCTAAAATAAAAATACTATGAACGCTGATACTCTGTAGGACAGTGTAGCAAGTGGTAGGTATTAGGAAAAGTGGATCAAAAACTAGGAGATCCAGAAATTAAAAATAAAAAATGAATAATGGCACTTGGTTGAGGAATCTGGACTATATGAAGGAGAATGAAACAAAGAGTATTTTAGAAAGATGAGAACAATGGTTGGGAAGGACCAGCAAGAATTTAAAAAGTAGAACCAGAGTAATCACATAAAAGGCTATTGCTATAATCAAGGAATTAGAAAAAGAAAATATATTTACAGTACTGTACCTACTGAAAAAAATCCACATGTAAGTGGACCTGTGCCTTGTGAAAAGTGAGAGGAAGCAAAAGATAGACTTTAATAAGAAATAAAACAGTTATAATTTGGCAACCCACTGTATATGTGAAATGATTGAGAGAAATCAATTTCCAAGAACTCAAAAACTATCAATGAGAAGAAAAATGGGAAGATAGTGCTTAAAGATTTTTCTAAGAATTCAAGAATTACAAATAAGAGGAACAATGGCATGGGGGATTTATTTGTGAAGAAGAGACTGGATTGGTATTTAAAGGATTCAGATTCTGAGGCTACCAAGAAATATATCAAAGTGAAATATCAAAGTAAAAAGTTTATTAAGTGTTAAGAGATTTGGACTTGCATGTTACATGAGAATATGGAAGTCAAATTCTCAGATTTTCAAAACACAAAATGAGAAACAATTAATGAAATCACTCTTTTTAACTCCTCAAACATTTTAAAATTCTAATTCAAAATTCTCAACAGTATTAGTAAAATAAAGTTTAATAATTAAACAACACTATCACTATTAGAAAGACCGGCTAAAGGTAAAAAAGAGGACTAGTAATGTCCTAAATGGTACATGACAAAATTACTACAAAGGTATTATGTAGATATTATCAAAAAAACTCACTTCAAACAAAATTAACAGTATGAAACCAAGAAAATAACTTCTAGGCTAAGAAATATATAAATTCTAGTCACTTTTGGTTGCAATTTGCTTTATAACTAGAAAACAGTGAGACATTTTCATGGATCACTTTTCCCTCATTTGTAAAGTAAGGCTCTGTAAGTGGTTTGCAAACTCAGCATCTGTAGACTACGCTATTTCAGATAGCCTAATAGAAACCACACATTTACTTATGACAGAATGAATGTACTGATAAAAATTTCCAGTTTCTTAGCCTTGGAATAAAATGATTTACTACAGCATGTTATCATGTGTTCACTTCAGTCATTTAGAAGCTCTGGCACTATATGTGTATGTATAGTTATATTTAACAAAAAATGAAAAGTAGTGATTATTAACAAATACAAATTAACAAACTAGTATCTCCACATCATAACATCCACGGCAGGAAGTGGGTTAATATAAAAAGAATCACTTATAATAAATCTTATTTGGTACTTACGACACGCTAGAAAATACCAGCCTTTCTTCAGTGACTAAGGCTCTATTATGGGCTGAACTATATGAAAAGTTCATAGATCGAAGTCTGAACCCCAAGTATTCTCAGAATGTGATTCAATTTGGAAATAGTGTCTTTACAAATGTAATTAGTTAAGATGAGGTTATACTGGAGTAGGGTGGGCCCCAATCCAATATGACAGGTATCTTTATAAAAAGGGGAAATTTGGGTGTGCACGTGTGTGTGCACGCACGCGCACACACACACACACACAAAGTATAGTGCCATATGAAGACAAAGCAGTAGATGCTTCCACAAGGCAAGGAATGGCCAAGATTGTCAGTAAACCATCAGAAGCTAGAGGAGACACATGGGAAAGTTTCTTTCTTACAGACTTCAAATAGAACCAATCCTTCCAACACCTTGGTCTTAGACTTTTAGCCTCCAGAACTATGAGACAGTACTTCCCTGTTGTTTAAGCTACCAGTTTATGGTACTTTTTTTATGACAGCCCGAGCAAACTAATCGTGACTCCTTTTACTTCTAATATTTAGAAGTTAAATGTAATTTATTATCAACTTTGAAAATATATCCCCAAAAATAAGTAATAAAAATAATGACACATGGGTATACAATTCAAATCGGTATACGAACCTGTAGTTCAGTAATAACTGTTTTATGCCTCTTGTTACATTCAATCTTTTCGACTCGTGTTTTCAATTCTGCCAAAGTCTTATCAAATACAGCACATTGTAGTGCACACAATTTTTCTTCCAGCAACCACTGTACAACCTAAGGAGATATATATTTCTTTGTTACAGTCAAAGAAGGCATTTCAGCAAGCAGCAAAGAGTAAATATTCTTAAGGACTAGTAAGACAGTACTAATGTATTGATTAGTTTAATGAGAAAACAAGCTGGCATTCATAACACAATGATATCTGCTGAAAGCCTCTACTTCTACATGTATGCCCACTATGATAGAATTATACTAAAAACAGAAAATTTCATAAATAATCTTATATTCAAGTTTTAATATTTATTTCTCATATCTTCTACTGTGATTCAAAGGAAACCAGTTAAAGGATCAGTTTTTAAAATTTCTAATCTGTTGCAAACGATATTTTTGTGAGACACTAAGAATATCACTGCACTATGAAATTTCTATAAAATACTTCTAAATGCTGGGGCACCTAGGTGGCTCAGTCGTTAAGCGTCTGCCTTTGGCTCAGGTCATGATCCCAGCCAGGGTCCTGGGATAGAGCCCCGCATCGGGCTCCCTGCTCCAAAGGAAGCCTGCTTTTCCCTCTCCACTCCCCCTGCCTGTATTCCCTCTCTCTGTGTCTGTCTCTGTCAAATAAATAAATAAAATCTTAAAAAAAATTTCTAAATGCCTACTTACAATTTACATTATTTATCTTATTATGGATCTATAACAAATAGAATACATGGTACATGTCCACAGTCCATACTTGAGAAACACTGTTCCAGAGGAATACATTCTGAGTACACATAGAAGTTTCAAAACTCACATACCTATCTTCATATTTATAATAGCTCTAAAAAAAGGACTAAACATTATTACCTCCATATGACAAGTAAAAAAAGCTGGGAAAGAAAAATGACACTTTTTTATTGCCTAATTAATTGCCTTTTTCTAATGTATTTATACTGTATCTTAGTGGAATAATCTAAAACCTAGATTATTTATAATTTCATTATTAAATCTATAAGACCTTAAAAAATTAATTTCACTCACCTTTCATATTCCTCTTAAAAAGGCATCTGTCATACATGTTAACACATTTTGAAAAATATATTAAATACTACATATTTTCAATATTTCTAACTTTAGTTTAATAGATATAGGCAGATGTTTCCAAAGTCTGTATTTTAAATACTCCCCTTCCCTAGTCATCCTAAAGCCCTGTCCCTACTATTTTTAATAGTAAGCCTAAACAACATAACAAAGATTTACAATGTAGGAACTTACAATCATGAAACCAGCTTATAATAAAGATTAAAATGTTAACATATTAAAAAAAAAGTTAAAATATAAGACTCTAATATTTCCACAGAATAAAGTTCAATATAAAAGAAAAAATAAAATCTGAAAACTCTTTTAAAAAGAATCAGAAAAGTTCTAAAAATTAAATTATTAAGAATAACAAGCTCACCCACTTTCTTCAAGTTCTCTCTATGAAAAACCTAAATATGTCAGTAAAATACAGAATAATGTCAAAAACCTAGAAGAATAAAGATGGTCATGTTTTTTATTTAATATGGTTTTTAACTTATAATTTGTAACACCTTTTGTAGCTTCTGGTTAATATCTCCTTTGGCTGTAATCTTCACTTGAAATTCTGCTTCATATTCTTCTTCCATGTATCGACGACGTTTGGACTGTACATTGTCCATATCCTCTGATTTAGAACGTTTTCTTCTGGAAAATTCACCTGAGGACAGAAAGAATAATGATTAGTCAGGTTTTTATTACAGACCCTAATGCCGGTTTTCCACTCTCAGCAAAATATTATTCCTAGCTATCCAATATCATTCTCAATCAGTTATTGTTTTTGAGATTAGAAAAATGGATAGGTAGCTTTTAAACTCTGATCTTGAAATGATTTTCAAATGCTAACAAGAACTCCCTCGTGGCTAAGCAATGTATAAAGAGAAAAAAATGTATAAAAATGTATAAAAAGAGAAAAAAAAACTCACGAGTGTGCACAGGGGAGGGGCGGAGGGAGAGTAAGAGAATCTCATGACAACTCCCCGCTGAGCTCAGTGCCCGACATAGGGCTCTACCCAAAACCCTTGGATTATGACCCTCAAGTTAGGACTGGAGCCAAAATCACAAGTCGGACACTTAACTGATTAAGCCACCCAGGCACCCAAGGCTAGTTATTCTTAACATATCCTAATGAATTTCAAATAAAAATAATAAAATTTATGTCATTATAAAAGTAAATTTGGTAAAGACATTCAAAGATCTTCACTTAGAAAATTTGTATTTCAAATACTGGTAACATTCATGAGATCATAAGCAAATTTTATCTGGTTTCTTTTTCAATATATAAAATGCAAAAATACTAAAATCTCCACTTATTAAAGGGAAATGTCCTTCTGTGACCATAAGTATCCCTCTTTGCTTTTCTCTATACCCATACATCTATGTGCCTACTTTTATAATCCAGTTCTACTACATGACTTCTCTTATAATCATGACTTATAGTCATACATGGAAACCAGAATAACAAGGATACAGAACCTAGGTTTCCTGACTTCTAGTCCAATGATAATCTTACAAACCTAACAACACCCAGTCCCATCAAATCCCCTTTCCCATGAAGCTTAGGAACCTAAGGAGACAGACACATAATTTTCATTAACTTATATCACCCCCAACAAAATTCTTATAGCACCATGCTCTCAACATTAATCGAAAACCATTTATCTCAAGACATTCAGACAGTACCTTATTAAATATTAAGCATAAATATTTCTTATAAAACAATGAAAAGTATAAATAAAATAAAATACTGAAGTATATGAAATAATATTTTCAAAAATCCTTAGGTTAGCTATCAACAAAATTATTTAACTGTGTTTTACATAAACTGCAAAATTTTAAAATCATCTCAGGAAAGGAAATATATTTCACAGCCTTAAAAGAAGAAACAATGAATAACTATTTTTCTAAACTAGTTCGGGTTTTTTGTACATGCTTACTTTTCTCAGAAGGTCTTTCATCTTCATTTACTACTTGCTCTTCTTCCTCAGGTTTGCTATCCTTTTCATTAGTTTCTACTTCTGCTGTAACAAAGAAAAGGAAATCTAACTTCCATCAGAATTCATTGCGGTTCATTATAATTTACAATTTTGGTGTTAACAATCCAGTGAATAAACTTATAAAATCAGTCCCAAATGGTGAAATTTTAGGAATAAAAAGGGAACATAGCATGGACTGGTAGAAATGAATGACCAAATCCACTTTCAAATGTTCCTCCAAATTCATAAAAAGCTCTTAAACATGGAAAAAAATTAATAGTATACATTTTAAAACAAAGAATCTTACTTAGTAATTTACTGTCAACAGTAGATTAATAAAACCTATTGTAAAGCATTTGGATTCCATTACATTCAATTATTAAAACTAAAATACTGGGGTGCCTGTGTGGCTCAGTCAGTTAAGCATCTGCCTTCAGCTCAGGTCATAATCCTGGGGTCCTGGGGTCCTGGGATCGAGTCCCACATCCGGCTCCTTGCTCAGTGGGGAGCCTGCTTCTCCCTCTACCTGCCACTCCCCCTGCTTGTGCTCTCTCTCTCTCTGACAAATAAATAAATAAAATCTTTAAAAAAAACCCAAAAACCTAAAATACTGTAGTGGTTTTGAAAATTACCAAAAAAAATTACGAAGTACTGCCAAATTTGAAACATCTAACATTTTAACCAGATTAAATCATTATGTTACTTTAATGGTTATGAGATAGTTCGTAACATAGAAATGTAAAAACTATCATAAAGATAAAAGTTTAACTTAATCGTTAACTGATGCCAGTGCCAACAAGAGTTAAGCGCATGACATACATTATATCCTTAGCATTATCCTACACTATAAACATTATTTCTGCCATCACATACATGAGGAAAGTCCAATGTTCAAAAACGTTTAAGTAACTTTCACAAAGCATATAAAATATAACAAAGAGTGCTACCAAAAATATACTGCTAAAAATGTCTACATAATTGCATTGTTACAATAAATAAAACCCCACATGTACCAGAATAGTCAATCTATTACCTCCTCAACTAACCTAATCATTAACTGGGGGCGAAGAACAAAACACTAATATGTTTGGGTTTCAATTTTTTCCCCTTACATCACTGCAACTGGCTCCCCAGGGGTTTCAATAAGGCATGCTGTTTCATTATATTCTACAACCAAAATTAAATAATCACAAGGAATAAACATTATATAAAGATTTTGATACGGCATTTCTTCTCCAAACAACAAGGTTTAATTCCACCAGCCCTGATGGTGGAAGTCAAGGCTAAAATAACTCGAAAGACCTTTTAGGTGAAAACAGGCAGATTACTAGGATTACTGATGAAACTATTAAGGTTCTTAAAAATATTTTCGGGGCGCTTGGGTGGCTCAGTTGCTAGGCATCTGCCTTTGGCTCAGGTCATGATCCCAGGGTCCTGGGATAGAGCCCCGCATCGGGCTCCCTGCTCGGCCAGGAGCCTGCTTCTCCCTCTCCCGCTCCCCCTGCTTGTGTTCCCTCTCTAGGTGTCTCTCTCCCTGTGTCAAATAGGTAACTAAAATCTTAAAAAAAAAAAAAAAATTTTTTTTCTTTACACTAAGGTAAAACTGTAAAGCTGTAAAACATGACAATAGTCAAAACAAAACAGCACATAAAGATTACTAAAACTTTTTTTTTTTAAGTTAGCTCCACGCCCAATGTGGGACTTGAAACTCATGAGATCAGAAGTTTACATTCTCTACAGACTAAGCCAGCCAGGCACTCCTACTAAAATTATTTTTAAGCTTTAAAATAAAGAAGTATTAAAAATAAATAAAAATAAATGAGTATCAGAAAATTAACTTTCCATTTACTATGCTCATTAGAAATATTTTAAGATCCCATCCCTCAACTTCAGTTTCAATGAAATGAAAATGTTTTGCTCCCTTGTAGATCACAAACTCATTACAAAGCATTTTTCTCTACATATAGTTTTTTTTTTTTTTTTAGGATTTTATTTATTTATTTGACAGAAAGAGACACAGCGAGAGAGGGAACACAAGCAGGGGGAGTGGAAGAGAGAGAAGGAGACTTCCCACTGAGCAGGGAGCCTGATGCGGGGCTCGATCCCAGGACCCTGGAATCATGACCTGAGCTGAAGGCAGACGCTTAACAACTGAGCCACCCAGGCACCCCTCTACATATAGTTTTATAAATCCTCCTGATTTTAACACTGAGGGTGGTGACTCCTGAGTTTCCTAGTCCCTAGAGTCTCCAGAGTCATAGAATAACTGGGTTGCTTGAGATGAAGGTTAATAGTCTTTATTTGGCAAATTATGATACCACCCAAAGAACAAAATTAGCTATGGCTCTAATTAGGGTAACTACAAGCCAGATCAACCATAATACAGCAGAGCAACTGGCCTGCCAATTTGGTCTGAGCTGTCTCTTTATGCACATGTTAGCTCCCTCTCTCCTCTTACAGATATGTCAAACTTAGCTTGAGCTTCCTCCATTTTCTTAAAAACCTCCTCCTATCACCCAATTCCCATTTTCCAGGTATACCTGGAAGATATGGCTAGATTCTCAACACTTTAAAACACTTATTGGAATTTTAAAATAGACACACTGGATTAAACTTCATACGTTGAGTTTTATTCAATGGAAAGAATTTTGGAATAAGAAAAATGGTATATTAACAGATTCTACAGAAAGGAACTAGGTCCTATATTTAATTTTTTGTTTACAAAGCCTCTAAGAGAATCTGAGAGTGGACCTGCTTAAACCCAGAATAGTAATCAAAGGCCCACGCACACAGACATTTTTATATATAATTTCAAGTAGTTCATGGGACACCTGAAACTCATCCAAATACTTAGGTTAAGACTGTCTTTTTTAGAATCTGTCTTCATTCATAGTTTCTGCTTTAATTCCTCTAGTCTTGAGTACAGACTTATCGCAAATTAGCCCATTTTCATATACAGTTCTACGTGTGGCATTCTTTCCTTTCAACCATACTAGACAATAAGCGCACTAAGAACAGATACCGTATCTTGTAACTTTGGTAATCCTAAAAACTTTGGGAAAGAGCTGAGACAAAGTAGATGTTTAATATCTATCTGATGACTACTATCTTAAATAAGATTTCATAAAATAAAAGTGGAAAAAGTGTATTGTAGAGGACAATAGTGAGTTAGTTTCCCATTTTCATTATTCCAAGGAAATATGGACAAAAATAAAGTATCACCTTAGATTAGAGGTTGGCAAACATTTCTTGTTAAAACCCAAAAAATATTTTCGGTCTTGTGGGCCATATGGTCTCTGTTGCAACTACTTAACTCTGTCCTTGTAGTGGGAATCAGTGATAAACAGTATGTAATATATAAACAAATAGATGTGGCTCTATTCCAATAAAACTTTATTGACAAAAACAGAGCCTACAGGTTATAGTTTGCCCATCCCCTGTCTGAAATTACTGGCTCTATAAGAGTATTTAAAACAAAACAAAAATTCCTACAGATTAATTAAAGACAATATATCCATTAGCAAAATGAGCAAAGTAGATGAACAGGCAATTTATAGATAAGGAAATACAAATAACCAATAAACATATAAAAATTCTCAACCTCACAAGGCACATCAGAAAAATGTATCATGATTAATAAGACATTTCCAGAAAAATTCTTAAAAGTTTTATTTAATACAAACTTCCAAATAATATCTTCTACAGTGAATTTTTGTGCTCCCCTTTAAAGCAAACTTGGAGGAAAAGTTCTATTTTATTATTTCTAATTCTCCTCCCATTTTCTCTGAAACCCAATCTCAATTAGGTTTTCAATTCCACCACCCCATGTCAAGGTCACAAATGATCTTCAGGTTATTAAATATTTGTCTCCCATCTTACTTGAACAAAATAGCAGCAACTGATACATAAACAGAATTGGGTTGATTACTCCCTCCTTGCAAAATCCTCTTTACTTGACATCTAAGATAACAGAATCTCCTGACTTTCTACCAGAAAAGCTGCTCTTTCTTTTCTTTTTGTTTCATATACTTATTTATTGTTTTTCTTATTATTGAAGTATAGTTGACATATAAGAGTTGCTCTTTCTTTGGTCTCTCTTCTTCATCTCCCAACCTCTGAACACTGGAATGTCAAGAGCTTAGTTCCTAAACTTCCTCTCATCTCCATTTATACTCACTGAGGTGATCTCATCTTGTCACTCAACTTCAACTAAGGTCTATATGCTATCTACTCCAAAATTTTTCTAAAAAGTCCAAACCTCTGCCCTGAAATACACATATCTAATTTGGACCGAAACAGTCATTTGAAACCGATGTTCCTCCTATACTTCCCTTTCCAAAACCTGCTTCTTTGATCTTCCTCAACTCTGAAAAGAAAAATCTGCAATTTCCAACAATGTATAGGAATAAGAGGTTCCACAAAGAAAAACCAAATACAATAAGAAATAACTGAATATAAATGGATTGAGAAAATAAAGAACTTTAGCTGAACACAATAAACAGTGACAATAAAATATCAATAAATTTTAATTAACTAAACCACAGTAATTCTACCACTACTAATCTAAAGCAAAAATAGATAAAACCCATGAAATTCTATTCCTATGCAATTATCCTCATAAGCACTTATACTTATCATATTTATCTCAGAGAGCAAATAGGGAGAAACAAATCAACCACAAATACATTTTTCATTTGAAATAAAATTTGGAAGGAAACTGTATCAGAATTTAGTGTAAAATCTGGTTTAATCTAAAACATATTTTTCTCCTCAAAAATATTAAGAAATAGCAACGTTTATAAAACAAAAAAAGCAGGCGGAGAAGAGCTCTCCCTCCTATTTCTCCATTAAGAAACAAAATGAGAAGGGCCAAGAAGGATGAAAAATGGAGAATGCCACAGCCCAAAAGCTAGAGAGTCTCAAGAGGGAGGGACTATTAAAGAGAGCATCCAAGTGTGAGAGAATAAAGACAAAATTTTGGATTTAAATCCCTGGTTTTTAACAATATGAGCATCAATGTCACTTCACTGAAAACAGTAAGGAGGGGGGACAGGCAGGATGAAAATCAAAATCCAATTAAAGAATAAAGAAGAGGAGAAAAAATAGTGCTAGCCTATTAACAGAATTTGAAGAATGACTATGAAAGAGAGGAAAGAGATGGAACAGGAGCTAGAGAAAGAGTACACAGCCTGGAAAGTGAATGGAAGATAAACTAATGGATGTACCTCTTCTCCTGCTGTTTAAACTTTTCCAGACAGAAATCTTTATTTTCCTAGCCTACTTAATAAACAGATTATCATTTTAATCATCTAATGAGTATCAGTTATCATACAGTACTGTGCAACAATATGACAGTCTCTTCAGGCCTACTCAGTATATCTGCAAAACTTTCTTAGGCCTTTCTCTTACTATTGTAAAATTAAAATGGCTTTTTTATTTGCTTTCTGATATCTTTCATTATTTTTTGTTGCTGCTCAAAGCTATCATAACTGTTATATTTAAAACAAATTTGCTAAAGAAATACCTGAAATGACAGAGGTTTATGTTTTCCTATTAGTACAGCACATAAATGTTAGTAGCTAGAGGGAAGAAGTGGTCCTCAGTACTTCAGTTTATAATTCTGTGTTTTGAAAACATTAAAAATTAGTCAAGAATACCGGGGTCCTGGGATCTAGCCCCACGTTGGGCTCCCTGCTCAGCGGGAAGTCTGCTTCTCCCTCTCCTTCTGCCCCTCCACCCCTCCTCCTGCTCTCTCTCAAATAAATAATCTAAAAAAAAATTAATCAAGAATAAAAAAATGATGAAAGTAGTATCTCAGAAGGTACACAGCAACAAAAATGACATGTACTATAGTCCCCCTTTATCTGCAGGGGCTATGTTCCCAGACTCCCAGTGGGTGCCTGAAACCATGGACAGTACTGAACCCTGTATGTTTTTTCCTATACATATATACCTATGATAAAATTTAATTTATAAATTAGGCACAGGGGATGAACAATAACTAAAAATAATTATAATATACTACAATAAAAGTTATATAAATATGGTCTCTCAAATTATCTTATTGTACTATACTCACAGTTCTTATGATGATGTGAAATGTTAAAATGCGTATGTGATGAGATGAAGTGAAATGAATGACATAGGCATTGTGATGCAGCATTAGGCTACTACTGACCTAGAAAGTTAATACTGCTGAGAATAAGTTAGGAGGAGAATAATCTGCTTCCAGACCATGGCTGACTGTGGCTAACTAAAACTGCAAAAACTGAAACCATGGAAAGTGAAACCGTTGATAAAAGAAGACAACTGAAACAGATTCCGCTCCCATGTAAAGAGAACACAGTACAGTTTTAAGACCAATGAAGAAACTATACTTTAACGTATTATACACAAAATTTCCTTGGGGGTTGAAGAAGGGAGGGCAGGAAATAAAAGTTTAGTTATCAGCTAAGAAATTAAATCTATCACTACACTTACTCTGCTAATACCATACAATCAGATAAAAGTAAAAGTAAGTAAATGGGGCTCAGGTCAGGATCCCAGAGTCCGATCCCAGAGTCCCAGGATCAAACCCCAGCATCGGGCTCCCTGTTTAGCGGGAAATCTCTTTCTCCCTCTCCCTCTACTCCTCCCCCCACTCATGCTCGCTCTCTCACTCCTCTCTCAAATAAATAAATAATCTTTTAAATAAATAAATAAAAGTGAGTAACCAAAAATAAACGCAAGTTTGAATTTTCAAAGTATGCAACATGGGTGGCTTAATAGTCATCTCATGGCATTTAATAGCATTAAGTGGGAAGGATGGTCCTTAATATCAAAACCCTCACATAAAGGTAAAATGTATAAACTCATTAAATAATAATCTGAAATTTGTTATGACTATCAAAAGGTTTTTTAAGGACTTACCCCAATACTACTTTCTCTATAAATACTTATTCAATGAATGAGTTAAGGTCACCTTAAATATGGTTACCTATTATCTTTCCAAAATGTAACTTCATTATGTCATTCTCCTCTGCTTGAAACATTCAATGGCATGGTAACCAAGGTCCTCCATGATGTACTTCTCTTATATTATCAATTATTCACTCATTCTACAAATATTTACTAAGCACTAACGTAAGCCAAGCATTATTTTGGCCTGATGATGGTGGCTCAGAACAAGGGTGATGATAGTGGATAAGAGAGACTGGATTCTAAATCTACTCTGAAGGCAGAGCCAAGAGGATTTCCTGATAAACTGGTAAGATATAGGATATAAAGAAAAAAATAAGAATGGCTCCAAGATTTTGGCCTGAGCAAGTAGGATGGAGCTACAATTACAAGGGATTATCCTCACTAAAACCCTATGTTATACAGATAGTGAACAGAAAGTACGTTCCTAAATACATCTATGTTTTTATAAAGTTACCCTTCTCTACACTCCCAGAATATCAATTTAACATTATTAGTGTGTTCACAGCCTTGTATTTAATGTCCTGCAACTGTCTGCATCCTGAGGGCAAGTACTAAATTTTATCTTTAAATCCCCAGAACCAAAACAGCTTAGCCTGTCTCTCAATATAGCTTTAACAATGAATAAATGCTCTCTGAAAACCTAGTAAGAAAAAAAATCTTTGCCTCCAATATATTGTGGGAAAAAACATCCCTGTGTCTCCTAGGCCTGTCTCTTATTTCTTTTGAACAAATTAGAAACCAAATGCTGTGTTTCATACTACAAGGTCACTCCTCTCAGAGTTCTAAGGCTAACGGAATGGTGATACAATAAGAACATAAAGGTATTAATGCGACTCTGAAAAGAGTTCAGAAAATTTCAAATAGAAATCATGTTTGAGTTTGACCATGAAAGCAAAATAGGATTTTTCTCATTCTTTCCTTTTTCTCCAGGAATAACAGAAGAGATGGAAAGACAGGCTTTTGAACAAACTAAGAAGTTTATATTCCTTTTATTTAAAGAGTTTGGAATTAATCTAAAAGTAACAGGGATCCAACAAAAGAGAAGAACACAATCAAAAGAGATTTAAGTTACAGAGAGATCATTCAGAAGATGCGGGGGGAAGAGAATCAAGAAGCCTGAGGAAGCAAATGGATGAAATCTTTATCAAATAGATTATCAGTCTTCAGGCCTTCTGGATTCTAGCAACGGTGGTGTCATTCTCTAACAAAGAATATTAAAGGAATCATATTTCACTGGGAAAATTAATTGTAAAATGTGATTTGTTACACTTGAAGCAAATAATTTAAACCAGTAGGCTTTTACATTCTAAGTTATTTGGTTGCTAAGTGATAGCAAGAACAATTGTTAGGACTTTGATCAATGGTCCAGCTTATCTCTCTATGCCTAGACCATAAGCCCCTTAAGGACAAAGGCCATATTTTCCAATTATTTTAACTCCCTTCTTATCAACTCACACAATGTTGCTCAAACAACGTTGCTAAATTCTGTTAAGATTCTATGAAGTTTAGAGATCATTCCAGTCACATCATTCTCAACTTCCTCAGCAACTAAAAAAAATTTAAACATTGTAAGAATGCTTTATTAAGCAGTTTATTAAACCTAAATCTTTAAAACAAGTAATATGCTAACCTGGAGAGCATGTTTCATTTTGTGATATAACTTCAGATTCATCTTTTTCACCAGCAAGATCCTCTTCATCAGAGAGGACCAAAAAGGCTTCTTTTGGCAAACTCTCACTGCTTTCTTGTTTAGATGGTGAACCAAAAGAACTTTCCATCTTCTCTTCCAAATCTGGATTTGTCTCATCAATCGGAAGAAGAGAAGTTTTAGAAAAGCAAGTAAGTTCATCTTCAGCAGGTGCAAGCTTTTCCAAAATAGGAATAATTTCATCTGTCTCCATAGAATCTGTATTTTCCAAGATAATCTCATTGTTGTCATCTTTTATAACATTTTCACTAATGGTTTCTGCAAGGTCTGCAGAATTTTCACCTTCATTCTTTTCACTTTGGTCAATTTCCATACTGCTAGATATAGCCTCCTCTCCAAGAGCAGGTTCTGTGACAGCATCTTCCTTTGCCTTCTTTTCATTTTCAGGAGGTAGATCTGAACAAATAACTCTATCATCTGTTTCCAGGGTTTCTTCATCAGCATCGGTATTACTATCAGCTTTATTTTTCTCATCAACTGAGAAAATCTGGTCTAACTTTTCATCATCCCCATTTTTTTCAAGAAAATCATCACCTTTATTGCTACTAGGCTCTGTACTGTCAGTTTCAGGAACAGGTTCACAGACTGGTACAGAACTTGGTTCAAAGGCGGGATGAAAAGCTGATTCAGAAGTCAGTTCATCAGAAGTGGGTTCATCAGAGGCCAGATCACCGGAGGTTTGATCACCAGAGGCTGGATCGCCAGAAGCTGGATCACCAGAGGCTGGATCATCAGAGGCCAGTGCTCCAGAGGACAGATCAGCAGAAGCTGAATCACCAGAGGCTGGATCACTGGAGTTCGGTGCACCAGAGACAGATTCATCAGGGACCGATTCACCAGAGACCAATTCACCAGAGAAAGGTTCACTGGAGACTGTTTCACTAGAAACTATTTCACCAGAGGTGATATCACCAGAGGTGGGATCACCAGAGGTGGGATCACCAGAGGCGGGATCACTAGAGGCAGGATCGCCAGAGGGTAATACTTCAGAGGCCAGATCTTCAGGGGCTGAATCTCCAGAAGCTGGATCTCCCATAGCCAGCTCAACAGAGGCTGGCTCATCAGAAGCTGGTTCAGCAGTCAGTTTACAGACTAGTTCAGGAGCTATACTATTAGGAGACAAAGGTTCATGCTTTAAATCATCATCCTGCTTGTTTTTTATATTAACATTTAAGGTACAAGAGGTTTCTTTCCATTCTGATTTACTTTTTTCAGCATCAAAACAAAGCTCTTCAATGCCATTCACCTCTTCCTTGTCATTAATATAATCCATATTTTCCAAAGGTGAGGTCGGGTCCAAATCTCCATTTTCATGGTTGCCATTTAACAGCTTGACATCAGCTTTCAACAGTTCTTCTTTGACCTTGTACACTGCTTCAAGTTGCTGACGGTCACTCACTCTCATTGTTTTTCGAGCCTTAAAGACTTTTTTCTGAGGTTCTTCTATACTATCCATTTTGAATCTTTAAAAAGAGAAAGAGAGAGAGTTTAATAATTGAAACAGAAGCCACCTAATCATAGATGAACTGCAAACTGATCTTACAGGTAAGCAGCCCTTTACATAATTTTGAAATGACATATAGAAAGCGTAATAATCCTTGCTATGTGTTAATTTTCATACTAATTGGATTTGTGTAATATAAAATTGATGACAGGTACAAACCATAGATCAATTATCAGGAAGATGAAGAAAAAAAAGTGACTAGCTTTTTGGGCAGGGACAGCAAGAGTGGGTCTTTAGAGCTATCGTTGGCGCTGGAACTGTCATATCCCCTCTTCTTCCACTTCCCATTGCAAACAATTAAGGCCATTCATACGAAAGAAAGAAAGAAAGAAAGAAAGAAAGAAAGAAAGAAAGAAAGAAAGAAAGAAAGAAGGAGCTGAAGAAAGGAAGGAAAGGAAGGAAGGAAGAAGAGAAAAAAAAGGAAAAAGTGAGTAGTTTCTAGTTTTAATTCTCAGCAAGCTAATGAAGTCAGAATCTGGAGGAGACACATAAGCATATGCAGCAAAAAAGTTGACAAAGAAAAATAAAACTATGAGAGACCAAAAACAGTAGAGGAATGGAAAAGAGGTATACAGATAAGGAAAATTAAGAAACAAGGAAAGATTACATTTGCAACCAGGCACATCTAGATTAACAGTACTGTAACATATTTACAAAAGATTACCATCAAAAAATTGTTAAGACAATTCACATGACAGGATACAGCTGCAAATCATATATTTGCAAATAATTTATCTAAGAGACATGCATCTAAAAAGTAAAATACTATTACAACTGAATAATAACAAAAATAATCCTATTTATAAGTGGACAAAGTAATAGGGGGACCTGGGTGGCTCAGTCTGACTCTTGATTTCAGCTCAGGTCATGATCTCAGGGTTGTGGGATGGAGCCCAATGGCGGGCTCCACACTCGGCAGGGAGTCAGGGAGTCAGTGCTCAGTGGAGAGTCTGCTTGAGATTCTCTCCCTCTCCCTTTCCCTCCACTTCTCCCCACCCACCCCTGCTCAAGGGAGTACAGACTCGCTTGCTCTCTCTCTAAAATAAATAAATCTTTTTTAAAAAATGGACAAAGAATTGAATAGACGTTTCTCTAAAAGATATATAAATTGCCAATAAACCAATGCCAATAAACACTAAAAATGAAAAGATACTCAACATTACTAGTCATCAGAGAGATGTAAATCAAACTGCAATGAGATAACACTTCATACACACCAGGATGGCTATAATCAAAGAGAATAATGAGTATTGGTAAGGAGACAATCACACAATCAATGCTGGTGGGATTATAAAATGGTGCAGCTGCTCTGGAAAAGTCTGGCAGTTCTGCACCATGCTAAACATTAATCATTAATTTTCTGTCTTTTCTCTTTTGCAATACACATAAAGCTATAAATTTCCCTTTGAAGGTTGCTTTAGCTGCATCTCATATTTTGATGCGTTATATCTTCATTGTTGCTTTTAAAATATTTAGTAATTTCCATTATGATTTATTCTTTCACATGTCAGTTATTTAAAAGTTCCTTAAAAAGGTATATATTATGACTGTGTGAAGCTCATTAAAAAAATACAAGGTTGGTTTCATACTAAAAAAAACAAACAAGCAATGCAGATTATAAATGAGTCATGAGTCATAATGGCTTTATTTCAGATTGAATCAAGGTGTCCATGTGATAAAAATGTATTAGAACCCTAAGCCCCAACACCTCAAAATGTGACCTTCTTTAATTAGAGTCTTTGCAGAGATAAAGATAAAATAACGTCATTAGGGTGGGCCCTAACCCATTATGATAGGTATCCTTATAAAAGGGGGGAAAAATTTTTTTAATAAAGCAATAGAAGTCTATTAAGTGAAGATACAGAAAAAGCTCTCAAGAGTAAGAGGGGTCCCGACAGGGTTGCCCAAAAAGGGGAAAATTTGGATAAAAATATGCACATAGAGAGCCATGTAAAAACTGGAGTTTGGCTGTCACAAGTCACAGCTAGCAGAGAGGTCTGAAACAGGCCCTTCCTTAGTTCCTGCATGGCCCTGGATCACCTTGATTTCAGACTTCTAGCATATAGAACTACAAGACAGTAAATTCCCTATTTAAATACATACATACATACATACATACATAAAATATAAGCAATGAATTCAAAATTCACTGCATAAACAGAATAAAGGGTGAAAATAAACATGAGATCATCTCAACAGATACAGAACATTCATTTGACAAAATTCAACACTGACTCATAATTAAAACTCTCAGAAAACTAAGAAGAGAACAAATGTAATAAAAGTTATCTACAAAGAAAACTACAGATGTCATACTTAACGGTGAAGTAAGATCAGAACCAACACAAGGATGTTCCCTATTACCATTTCTGTAAACATCTAGCCAGTGCAGTAAGGCAAGCAAAAGATGCAAGGACTTTGTCCTGGAGAAAACAATGTCACCAGTCTATAATGGAATAAAACAGAAGTCTTTTATGGACGAAGATATACAGGAAGCAAGAAAATTGTTTTCACACTGGATATTTACTCATCATCACCATTACCTGTAGGAATGATGGCTGGATACACTTGCTTTAGCTGGAGAGCGGAGGGAGGGGGGGGAAGCAGCCTCTGACACCTGGGAACTTAATCTGAGGCTCACAACTAGACCTCGTTGTTATAAATCAACTTGATACTTACAGCTAAGCCATGTTGTTGTGAACATAAAATCACCTCAACATTCAAATTAGACAAGGTCACTGTGCAACCATGAAATATCAAACCTCTCTCTCTGACTAAATGAGTGATGGCTACTTTAAAAAAAAAAAAAAATCACAGTTTTATCCTCACTGTAGTCTGTCCTCCCTACAGATAAGATTTATTGAGATAACCAAGCACAGAATTGCCCCCACTTTCTGAGAGCACCCAATCCAGAGTAAAGCTCTATTTCCTCAAACCCTCCCTCAAATAACCCAATGTCTACTATACTAAACCCAAATCCTATGTTATGTGTTTTTCTAATATCCTCTTACTGACTGATGTGCTTCAGAGTTTACCCACGGTGAGCATTCTTCCTCACTGCAACAAGTAATAAACCCAACGCGTTCAATTAGAGGTCTGATTCTGGTGTTCCATTGTTCTTTTTGACTGAAAGACATAAAACAATGGCCTAGCCTATTTGCTAGAGGCCAATACAGCTTGAAAACCTACCACTTTGTTACAGTACTTCTAGACTGTGGTACATTCTGCATTCATTTGCTCACTTTAGGCCAATTACTTATATTTCTTATTCTTCCTAGCCTTTTAATTATGGAACTCAGTAAAACTATTCAGAAAACTTATCTTTCAATTGAACAGAAACTTCAATGCAGAATTATCATAGGCACTATTTTAAGGGTTATTCATTACAGTCTACCATTTAACCTTCAAGATTTTTCCCACCCACTATCCATTCCAAACTCATACTAAGTGAAAATTTTTAAGAAGATGCAATGCAAATTTTGTAGTCACATTTTCTTGCTGACTCCAAAGACAGAAAATAATTAAATTTATAGCATAAGGAATATGATTACCTTTTAAATATTTTTAAATACTGAACTGTAATTCTTTTACTCTGACCTCATAATGTCCCCATTTCTCAGCTGTTATATGAAAGCTGACAGTAACTGACAGTTGCATTAATAGGAAGCATCCTCTAAAAAAAAGTATATTTTCATAATTTTCAGTAACCCCTTTAAGAACATAAATCCTGCAGGACATCTGGGTGGCTCAGTCAGTTAAACATCTGCCTTTGGCTCAGGTCGATCCCAGGGTCCTGAAATCAAGTCCAGCATCGAGCTCCTTGCTCGGCTCCCTCTGCCTCCTTTTCCCTCTGCTTGTACACACGCTCTCTCTCTCTCTCTGACAAATAAATAAATAAAATCTTAAAAAAAAAAAAACATAAATTCTACAGACAGAAACATGGATTCAAATTCCAGCTCTCCCATGTATTTACTATATATATAACACTGGGCAAGTTTCCTAACATTAGTTTCAGCTATCTTAAAAAGGGAATATCATTATCAGTACCTGCCACAGAAGTTGTAGTCATGATTAAATGAGATTCTATACATTAAGGACTTAGAACCTATAAACACTCAATAATGTTATCATAATTGTCTACGTATATTAAGAATGTTTTTAGACATAAATTAGAGAATCTTGAGACAAATTTCTCTTTACTTCTGGTATTTTGTAGATAAGTTTGAAAATCCAACATGAAAACATCACATTTAAAGTTAAATTGCCACCACCAAATAACATTTAATAAAAATAAATATTAGCCAAGCAAGCTGGTTTTACAAATTAAATTGCCATTCAATTCGGTAATTGATAAAGTACTGTACAAAGAATTACAAAATAACTACCATCTATACCCACAAGGGAGCACACTACAGCCATTTACCACATTTTTTATGGGTTCTAAGTATAATGAAAAACAGACAAAGCATAAGGAAGTAACATGAACAACCAGTTCAAACTAGTTCAGCCATATCTGTGCAAACCAATCAGCAGGAACTTTTTAAAAATCTATTTTGCATAAGGAAAGTATATTTAAGAAAGATACACATTAGAAAAGGGTGTGTTACCTGCAAACAAGTCTCCATGCCTGTACTACCGGAACAATACATTTCTAAGGATCATTTTAAATACGTCATCTGGAACTGAGATGCCATTCACAAAACTATTCTACAAAAGAAAAACTACTTTTTTAGGTTGCAACACTAGAATCATGAAGCTTTCATATGACTGTAATTCATTTTTACAGGAAAAAAATTTATATTTTATAGTAGAAAATGTCTGCCATATCTAGAAGTAAATGTGTAAAACGTGATGAACTTTCTCTAGAAAATATTTTTTCATGAAGAAGATATAGTCAAAAACTGTTTTTAGGTCGCTATTCTATATATTCAGATTTCAAGAACTCTGAGACAATACCAT